CACTAGGGGGGCAGACCTTGGGGCAGAGACTGAGGGTCGGGGTCGTCGTTGCACCTGGGAGCCAGAACTGAGGTGAGCAGCTAGGAATGCCCTGCGGATGGCCCCACAGCAACGCGCCACATGAGCTGAGTGACCCAGAGAAACCAGGTAGGCCCATCACTTTAGATGGGACCTGAGGGACTGATGGCCAGGAATGGGGCCAGAGAGAGAGCTGGAGCCTGAGTGCAGGCCTGTGGGCACCTGCCCTGACCTGGCCCCACCCAGCTATCCAGAGCACACACATAGGTGCACCCACAGGTCCTGGGGCTTTCTGACCCTGCCCCAAGGGATGGTGAGGACAGACAGTTGGGCTTTGGTGCACAAGGACTGAAGAGTCTCATTAGCAGCAGAATCTATGTGACACCTCTGTATGGCGGAGGGCAGGCGTGGACTCCCTCTGCTGGGGATCCTTTAGTTAAAGGGCTTTTGGTAACTCCCTGCAGTCACCACCCAAGGTAGCTCCCTGTCCAACTTCACAGCCAGACCACTAGGAGTTTTGCCCACATCCCCAGCAGCCTTATTAATCTCAGGGGTGGAGGGTTGACTTTTGCTCACCCAGATCCCACTTGAAAGGAACCCTCCTGGTGTGCACTCTGCCCCCAGCAGGTTACAGGTGTGGTGCAACTCGCCATGGAGGGCCGTCTCCTAGTTGGAACTTTTACATCAGAAATAAGGAAGCTGAGGCTCCAATAGACTAAATAACTTAGCCAAGATCTCTCCCAGCTAAGAGGGGCTGGGCTAGAAACTGTGTGGAGGGTTGTCTGCTGCAGCTGCCACACCCTGCTTTTGTCTGGCAGGGGCACCTAGGAGACTCTAAACAGCAGATGATGACGTTCACATCCAGGCAGTCTTGCTGCAGACTTGCTGTGTGACTTAGGGCAAGTGACTTCACCTCTCTGTGCCCCAATTTCCTCATCTGTGAAGGGGGGATGATAGCACTGCCTACCTCATAATGCTGTTGTGCAGATTAAATGAGACAGTATAGTACATAGAAACTTCCAGCAGTTTCAGCATGTAGGCTTCTATGTATGCATTGGTTATTATCATCATCATCATTATCTATAACCTCCTGGGTCTCCTGGACCACACACTGCATCTAAATTCCTTTACAATAGTGGGGATGTTTGGGGTCACCTTTTTGTTTCTTGGGTGGTAGACTAGGTCACAGTGTGTCTTGATATCTCTTGTCTGGACCACATCGGGGTCATATAAAGTTGTTTCCTTGAAAGGTGGTCATGGGCAGGGGTCTGCTTTTGAGAGGCTGTGGCCAAGTGTTTGGGCTTTGATTTGTTCCCTGCTGGAGGCCTCTGCCCTTGACCTTCTTTGACACCCACTGCGATTGCCTGTGGTGGATTGCCAGTGGCAGCCAGGTCTTTTGGTGTTCAGTGAAGTCAATGTCAAGGGCTCTGAGGTGAGTGCAGCGAGGGAGGGGGAACGGGTCACCTGCGGGGAGTTACTGAGTTCAAGGACACATCTCAGGCATATACATGGACAGCTGGACAAACAGCTGGGTGGACAGATGTAAGGCATCTTAAAGACCTCACTTGGTTTCTTTTCTCTTTGAGAACAGTCTCACAAAGATCTGTTCCCCTGGGAGCCCTTTGAGGAGAGGAGCCTGGGCTTGAAATTCTTTGTAGCCCCTTCCGGCCTCGAGCACTGACTGACATTGACCCAGACCGGAAGATAGCTTTCGTGCCAACCATCTTTCAGAGAAAGGGTTGCTTATGCTTACTGACTAGTTATTGCAAGGAAATTTGTGATTTCTGGGACTCAGATCTGAGTCTGTGTTGCTAGAGGGAACATACCCCACCCCCACCCCACACACACACATGCACGCGCACACACACCCCTATAGATTTTGAGGTATTGTGCCATTTCTATGATGTGCCACTCTCTTCTCACTCCTGAATACTTTCAGTCTGGGATCTATTCTTTTATCCTCACAACCTCTCAGGCTACACTTACCTGGGTTTTGCAGCCTGGGAGGCATCAGGGAGGCAGGAAACATGTCTGATCCTGTATGTTCCATTATGTAGAGACGGGCTGGAAGCCAAGCTGACTGCTCCCTTGCCCAGGTCTGCCTGCCCCATCTGCTTGGCACTGGCCATCACCACGGCCACCCAGAGAGCACCATGCCCACCACGGTGGCCTGGGCACTGAGCACCTTCCACTCCCTCAGCTCTGCAGGAACTCAGGAATGAGGGGAGAGACTTCTGTCATGTTAGCCCCAGTCTGCAGGGTATGGGGTACCCAGATATGTGAGGTTTGGACATAGCATCGTGAGAATCATCGGAACAGTTGTCTCAGCACCCATGCCTAAGGGCAGGAGCCCTATCTGATCTCTTCCGCTGTGCAGTCTCCAGCATTTCTGTGCCCTGTGGGCCTCTCTCTTTGCCCCATCCACCCTTAATCTCCCTTCCTGCACTCATCTTCTGCCCTGTCTGGTTGGAAGTGATGTACATACCTGCCAGTGCCTTCTCCTTATAGAAGCTGCTTAAAACTTCAGTTGTCCCTCTCTCCAGGATATTCTGCTCATCTTCCACACATCAGGCAACAAGCCAGGTTAGAGATTTTAAGGCAGAGCCTACCTCCCTAGACTTCAAAGACAGACAAAAATAATGCTGATTTTCACAATAATGCCTGTATTCCTACTGTCTGCCTGTTGTGGAACCCTGAGGATGCTGGGCACAGGAGAGGTGAATCACTGTAAGCTGGGCAAGATTAGAGACCTGGGTCCTGTCAAGGAGGAGAGTGCTGGGTGGGTCCTGCAGGAAGGGTCTGGGTTGAGGGGAAACTCTGGAAGCCTGGCCGATGGTGATGGGGAACGGAGGGGCCAGCCAGGCAGACAGCATCTTTCCATTAGCTGTTACACTGCATTTTCATGGGGCTCTCAAAGGCTGTGTCACTTGATCCTTACCAGGACCGAAGCCAGGCACCCAGAGCTAGGGATGGTGAGGATCATTTTGACAGTTTTAGAGATGCAGACACATGAGCAGTGTGCCCAGAGTAACATGTCCAATGTGTGGCAGAGCACTTCTCACTTCTGAAACCCCTGTGATTTACTGAATGGCCTCCCTGACCCATGAAGGGGCAGGATTCCCCCGCCGTCCCACACCCCTGAGGCTCCCATGTTGCCCATTTCACCAGGGGGAGGTGTTTGCTCCGGCCACGAGACTAGACTCACAATTCAGCCTTGATGGCAACATGACCCCATTGCCTGTGGGTGGAGCAGACGGTGCTGATACAGTGCAATGTGGCCATTTTGCTTCTTAATTCCAAGGACCAGAAGTTGTTAAAGGACCAAGGAAAGCAGCCCCAGGAATGAATGATCAGAGTAGGTGGGTATGGACAGTGTGTGTGCTCACGTGCATGGGCTGGTGAGTAATGGGCTAAGAAGGAGCAGCTGCCAGCCTGCCAGGCTCCAATGGCTGCCAGTCCCCAGTCGAGGGGGCTCTGAGGGACCTTCTGGGGTGCCCTCCTGGATCATCATGCAGTGAATGAGATGATCCCCACTGCCCATGAGCCCGCCAGTAACCATTCTAATCTCACAGGCAGCCCCAAAAGTGAATTGACAGCGATGTGCTAAAAATGAGGCTGCAGGATCAGTGGGTCCCTGGACGGTCTCTTCCAGGAGACACAAATGTATATTGTAACAAAACTTTATTTTCTTCTGAAAATTGCCTACGTGATTAATATGGCCCGGCACAGGCCAAGCTGTTCAGCATAAAAAGCAGCCGTATTTCTTGCTTCCTCTCCGGTGCTGCTTCGCTCACTCCGTTCCTTCATCCCGCAGCCTGTGTTCTGCTCCTTCCCACATGATGCTCCACATTGTGCAGAATCATGCAAGGAGAGGGGAGGGCCCTGCAATGCACGCGCTCCGTACGCCATTCCACTGTTTCCATGTGGTGTTTTCAATGGGGCTCAGACGAAGCATGAACCCAAACTCCCGGGATCCCCCAACAGAGTGTGGGTGTTACTGTGACTGGGCCACACAGATCTCATTCCCTGGGTATTCGGCCATCTCCGGGGCCCCAGGGAGGCCCCAGTCCTCTGCCCCCAAGTCTAGCCTGAATGAAAGGGATTCTCCCCTGGCTTGGGGGTGGGAGAGTTGCTGGGCCTTAGGAAGGTGGTGCCATCTCCTGCCCCAGGGAGATTCTCAGAACGCTGGCAGGAAGAGTTGGGGCGTGTCGGGCAGCACTCTCCTACACAGGCAGAGGACTTGCTTCTTTGATGTGATTATTTGCCTGTGTGTGTTATGTCTTCTAGAATGTAAGCTCCATGAGGACAGGGTTTCTGGTAAGTGTCTTAGTACACGTTCCCTCAGAAACAGAGCCCGACACAGAGGTTTGAGAGCATTAGTGTGTTTGGGAGGTGGAGAGGGGAGTGGAGGGGTGGCACTGGGAAGGGAAGGCACCTCTCCCCAAAGGGGTGTCATGCAGATTGTTACTGTGGAGCTTGATCCCAAGGGGGACCCTGGGAGCCTTGTGAAATCCACCCCTCAGAGTCAACCTGCTCAAGGGGCCCAGGGAGCCCGGGTATTTATACATCACCCCCCAGTGGTCTCTGGATAAGAGCTGCTGGGGGCCAGGTAACTGCTTGGGGCAGGGGCTCCAGTCAGAGAAATGCAGGTGCCCACAGTGGGGAGTCAGGCAGGTGGGCACTGATGTGGGACAGGGGTTATGTGTGGCACAGTGGATGTGTGCCTAAGACTGATGCTTCCCACTCGTACGAGGTGGTAAGTTTGGGAGCATTAAGGGCATCCCTTAATGCCCTCCTCCTTAGTTTTATTCTCAGTTCTTGGTTTTAGTCTCAGTTCTTAACCAAGAGAGGCCAAGAGAGAACCAATGAGTCATGCCTTGGGAGAAGGTATATGAGGATTGGGCTGAAATCCTTGCTGTGTCAGAAACAGTCCTGTGCTTTTCGCCTTCCTCTGACTCCACTCTCCTCTGCTCGCCTCCCAGGTGTAAGGAGCTCAAGTACAACAAGGAGCTGCCCCAGATATCCATCATCTTTATCTTTGTGAACGAGGCCCTGTCAGTGATCCTGCGCTCGGTCCACAGTGCTGTCAATCATACGCCGACACACCTGCTGAAGGAAATCATCCTGGTGGACGACAACAGTGACGAAGGTATGGGGCCGCCTGCACAAGCTTTCTGGAGAGGAATGTGCTCCAGCTGAGCGATGTCAGTGGGGAGAGGCTGCTTCCCTTCCCTTGTGAGCCCAGATGCCTTTGTCTGCTGTTTCCGGGCACCTCTGGGTAGTGGGAGATGTTTTAGAGGAAGACGTCTAGGTAAATGCTGGTTCATTCGTCCTCAAGGGCTCTAGGACACTTAAGAATAAATGACTGGTTATGGTTCTAGACTGATTTTCTTTCCCTCTTCCTATTCCCTAAAGAAGATGACATCAAAGAGCCTAATTCCTCCCCACTCCCCACTCCTAACCCCATCTCTGTTGTCTTTTTCTGAGAAACAAAAGAAAAAATGGCATTCTGCCCTGTGGTGGGAACTGCTCATCTTATCCCAGGGTTCCCCTCTGGGCCACTGTGGCCGCCTAACTGTAGGTGGAAATGAGCAGTGTTTGCAGACTTTTTGGAGTTTAGCTCTGTTAGGAATGGTGGCTCAAGTTAAAAAAAAATAATGAAACAGGCAAATATTGGATGGCGATGACAAAAACCCTTTGAGGTCCTTGGTGAAGAAGGCCTGGTGTCCAGGGGTTGGGGTTGGGGGTTGGTTTCGCTAATTGCACCTTTGTGTTGGCTCAGAGCCTACAAAATTTACTATGCTTACTGCAGGAACAAACCCTAGCAAGCTGATGACAGAAAAGCAAGCAGCCAGGGTGCATGCCTAAGGCTTATCTTCTGAGCAACTGAAGGGATTAAGGGGCAGGCTGAAGCCCTTGCTCTCTGGTGCTGCGTAAGGAAGAATTACCTGTGTGCCTCCTGGTCAGGAGAGGGCGAGCTGGAGGCAGGACAAGCCGCAGGTCCTGTTTGAACCTGATTGTCTTCAGGCGCTCTGGGATGAGCCTTTCACGTTTCATGGCCCAATAGCTGAAGTCCCCCTGGCCCTTGTGAATCAGCATCACAGTTACAAGTGAAGGGCTTGAGGGTGCCTGGACTCAGCAATATGCCACTCAGGCCACTGACCTCTCCCGGGCCTCCAGGTTGTGAGGACAGATGGGTCATTTGCTGAATTTTTCACATCCCTATTTATCTCCCTTTCCCTCTGGCCATTTCGTTACCTATAGATTCTTCTAAAACTGACCTTGGGAGTCTTCTTGCGAGGATGTTCTTCTTCCAGTGCCTTGAAGTCTCTAAGTCGCCTGGCAGTCTCTCTCCCTGGCTGTTCTGCAGCCTCTGTGCGCTCACTGCAGACTTCTTGCTTCAGCAGCACCCCCAGGCCCCTTCAGGGAGTCCTTGCTGCTTACCCCTCCCCCCCCCCAATTTGCTGGCTAAGTCCCACCAGTCCCCCAGGTTCCACATGTGTCACATCCTCAGAGAAGCCTTTGCTGACATGATCGTAAGGCCCTCTCTGTGCTGCCCAGCATCCTGTGGGCACTCTAGCAGTGATAGCACCATGGTTTGCATATCTGAACCCCAGATTCTGGGCAAAAATTTGTTCCAAAGGGCCTGGCTGGTAGCTGAGCCTTGGTGAGTGTCACCTGGGAGGAAAGGAGGGAGGGAGCAATGAAGCTGGAAGGTCAAGGGACTGGCGGCGGAGTGGCTGGAGGTGCTGCAGAGAAGCGTTGGCAACCCCAGAGGAGAGGGCGACTGGTGAGCGCTGGACTGAGCTGAGGTGAGGGCTCCCCCAGTGGGGCTCCCTCTTGCAAGGGTGTCCCTGCAGAGCCAAGCTAGAGAGGAAGGAAAGCAAGCCCAAGCCAGGCCTGGCCAGAACTTGAGCGGCCAGAACACCAGCTCCGTGAGAGCAGGGTCTCTGGTACATGTCTTGGTATGCATTCCCCCAGACACAGACCCTGACACAAAGATTTGAGAGCATTTGTTTATTTGGGAGGTGGAGAGGGGAGTGGGGAGGTAGCACTGGGAAGGGAAGGCGCCCCCCAAAGGGGTGTCAGGAGGATTGCTACTGTGGCGATGGGAGCTTCATCTCCAGAGGACTCTGGGAGTCCTGTAAGACCCTTTCCTCAAAGTCAACCTGCTCAGGGCTCAGGGAGCCTGGGGGCTTATACGCAGTTAGCACACATACTTTCACATGGGACCCTCCTGGAGCCCCACCTTGGAGGAGGTTCAGCTTTCAGAGGTGGGGGTGGGGTGCTGAGGATTTGCATTTCTCACCAACTCCTGGGTATTGCTGATTCAGTGGGCACCACACTGTGAGAGCCACTGAGTTAGGCAGCATGTCAGTGGCTCACACTTCCTGTTTCAGTGGAGATGCTGAGAGTGTGAGAAGAAGCAGGAAGAGGTATTCGGTCCAGTCTGACACTGAAGTTAATTCCCATTCATCCTTCCCTGTCCCCCCAAATACCTAGGGTACCAGGAGTGGACTATATTGATGGCATTTCTCTCGTTTCTTCCTCTTGCTCCAGCCTCTATATTTTCTCTAGGCCAGAAATGCCTTTAATGGGAAGAGAAATTTAACATTTTGTGTTTGTTGGGATGTTTTTCCCTTGTGACTAGTATTATTGAGCTTTGTAAATATTCTATGTAGACTTGAAAACAAACCCACAGTGTAATCATGGAATTGAATTCCTTCCTGGCATCAATTTTGTCTATTTGACTATGAGTTTATCTTCTTAAGTCTTTATGATAATGGCGTTTTAACATTTCCTTCTTGCAAGGACGATTCTTCCCTGTGTTCCTAATAATGTTTGATTTCTCTGTCTTGTTGTCAGTTTCTTTGGCAACATAGATTTGTATCTGCATGGCTTCATTATTAGCGGTGGTTGTTACCATTATGTAATGCTCCCTTTATCTTCAAAACATACCTTTTTTTCTTTGCCTTGCGTTTACTTTGTTTAGCATTAATTTTTTTATCCCTGCTTTCCTTCTGTTTCGAGTTTGAGTATAACATTTTTTTTTCAGCAGTACCGTTTTGTTCTGATCTTAAAAGCAAGGCATGCTCTTTGTAGGAAAATTTGAATGTGTCAAAAGCACATATAGTTGGAAAAAACAAATACTGCAGAGACTAGCCAGAATCAGCTGCTCATTTGCCCATGTTCTCACCCTCTTTTTAATGCACATTTTACATAGTTAAGATCCTATGGTAAAAACAATTTAGTGTTCTCATTTTCCACCTAAACTGTGAAGCATATTTCCCTTTTAATTAAAAAAGCTCTGCGAACATTATTTTACTGAGGGTAGAATGGTCCATCCGAGGCTGGTCAAGACTAGCGGAGGTGGGAACAATAGCGCCCCCCCCATGCCCATATGCTATCACACCCATTCAAGATAAAAACAGCTTTTTGTGGGGGGCGGGGAAGAGGAAGAACAAAAAGACTGGCTCAGGGAAGGTGTGAATAAGGCCAGGATATGTGTGCATCGCAAGTCAGGGTCTTTCCCTTGTTATTATTTTTTTTAAGTAATTTGTTTTATTGACATATAAATGAAAAGCTTGAATATTGACATTGGCCTAAGTTACACCCAAATAAAATGCAATTTTTTTGTATTCTTGTACATTAAACTGAAATCACTCAGGCAATTTTGCCAGTGATCGCTGCTCACCCAGTCCAGTGGGCACGTCCCTGCCCTGACCCCGCTGTGCTGGACACTGTTGGTGGTGTCCTTCCTGGCAGTCTTCTCTTCCGGAGGCCCCAGCAGCACTGTCTGGCTTCTCCTGTACCCTCCCCCCCGCTTAGTTCCCTGCTTTCACTGGGATCAGTCATGGTTCTCACCATCAGGATGCTGGGTAGTTCCTTTACTGTGCACGTTCTGAACATTCCCAGATCTGTCCTTACAGCCCAGAACAGCTCCAAACCTGTGTCCTCTGTCTCCTGGATGGCTGCCCAGGCCCCTCTAAAACCATCACCTCAGTTGGTCCAGTGACTAACTTACTCTTTTCCTCTTAGCCTCAGAAACCTGTTTCTTATCCTTATTTCCAGTGAAGAGCTTCACCTTTTTCTCAGTTATCTCATCATCAAAGACCAGAAGCCTCTCCACGCTTTTTCTCCCCCACTTTCTCACCTGCCCCAGGTTAGTTACTCCTGAGTGTGATCCTTCCTGGCCTTATCCCAAACCTCAGCATTTTTGCCTTGAAATTTGTTTGAGGGGCTAAGAGTACACAGAACTATATTGATGGTAATTCTTGACACACCACATCATCTTTTGTTTATTTTCCTTTATTTTAATTGAGATATAGTTCACATAACATAAAACACACCATTCTAAGGCGTACAGTTCAGTGGCTTTCAGTATATTCACAATGTTTTGCAACTATTGCCACTATCTAATTCCAGAATATTTTCATCACCTCCCTAAGAAACCCTGAACCTGTTAGCAGTCTCTCCCAATTCCTCGGGCAACCACTAAGGCCTTCATGTCTCTATGAACTTGCCTATTTTGGACATTCAATATAAATGAAATCTACAATATATGGCCTTTTGTGTCTGGCTTCTTTCATTTA